TCTCTAGTCATCCTGATCTGTATCTGGCCACTAGACCCAGATGGCTCTGGAGGAGAAAGTGAGGCTGGTGACTTTGCACAGCCTCCCTCACTTAAATCCAATTCACTTGCAAGACATGGCATCATCTTCCTGATGCCATGATCCTCTTTGAGAACGAATGACAAACGACAACACAATCAGGGCTTAACAAATATTTGCGAAATTCTTAGACCGATTTTTCTTATTCTTTTTCCATCTCCTTTGGGCCTCATAAACCTGGCTCCCCACAGAAGACACTGCATCCAGAGTTACCCTCTCCAATACTAAGTGTATCCTCTTCCTTTTGGAATCCTTTCACATCATCCCCCTGCCTCCACCACCACCAGAGGGGTGGGAAGGTAAGGAGGTCCCTTGCCACACTTCTGACTCTTCACTACCACTTCCAGGCAGGCCCCCTTCTCCCTTTTACTCACTGACTCCTCCTCTTTTGAGGTTCCCCTCCATCCTGCTATGTTTAGGGCCCTACCCTGATCCTGGGGGACTATTATCTACCAGATCATTATCCTTCCTTTTTCAATCAGTTGATAGACATGTATTAAGCACCTACTATGTGCCAGACATTTTGCTAAGCACTAGGGATACAAAGAAAGGCAAAAGACAATCCCTGCAAACAACTACATACAAACAAGATATAGACAGAATAAACTGGGAGTAGTCAACAGAGGGAAGACACTAGCATTGTGGGGAGTTTCTCACAGGACTCAGTACCTGCCTCACAGGCTTCCTTTCCACCCTAATGTTATATTGCATTTATATAATATTTTTTGTAAAAGTTTTTTGATTTATATGTAAATTGAATTTAAGTGAGGCACAGTTGCACAAAGTCATAGGCCTCAATCTCTCCTTCTGAGTCATCACAGTCCAGTGGCAGGACAAAGTCAAGATGACTGGTGATGGTTCGGGATGCAGTGATGGCCTTGGCATCTTCGATGTCTGACCAAGCTCTAAGCGCTCCACAGCTCCTGCTTCAGCTGCCTTCATGGCCATTGGAACAAATTATTCTTATCTGCCCATTCCACCAGGGGAAGTCTTCACATGCTTGGGATAGACACCCCTTTAACTCACCAATGGGTTTAAGACCCCTCAGTTACCCTCAACCTGGTTTAGCCCCTCTGTCAAAACGGTTTACCAGGGTGTGGCTGCTGCCCATGCCACAGTTTCTTGGAGCCAATGGTAAGAGTGAAGTGGGACAGGTGGACACCAAAGGTGGAAAGCAGCCCTCGCCCCAGAGGTACTAGTCTTCCCTGCACACACCCTATGCCCCTATATAATATTAGAATATAATTACTAATTAATTTTATTAATAATATATTGGGCCTTATATTAGGTCTCTTTAATTTACACATTAAAGTTCAATCAAGCATCCTGGCTTCCCAATTCATCAGCTTCCTCAACTTGGGCACCAGCTACCCATAGGAATGGCCACACCTTTGATCTGGTCAACACCTCCAAGATCCGTCACTCTGAAATGCCTCTATCTGGCCATGGTCCTTGTCCTGCCTGCATTCTCAAGCTCTTTGAAGAGTCATCATCCATTTCCCACACCTAGATGTGTGTGTATCCTTTGAACCAAGAGATCCCCACAAGAAACTTTAGACTCACCCAGACTTGGGTTTGATCCTGAGGGTTGGACTTCCAAGGGATCAACTACTCCCAGGATCTCTGAATCTTGATTTTATTTTTATTTTTTATTTTTTTAGGCAATTGGGGTTAAATGACTTGCCCAGGGTCACACAGCTAGTAAGTGTCAAGTGTTTGGTCTGAGGCTGGATTTGAACTCAGGTCCTCCTGACTTCAGGGCTGGTACTCTATCCACTGCGCCACCTAGCTGCTCCAGTCTCTGAATCTTTAATGACTTACCCGGATGTCTCCAGGAAAATCTCTAAAACAAAATTGGCTATGTCTCATGTCTAGAGTTTCCCCATATTTGGATAATAGGGTCACTTCTCCCAAAGATACTAAAAGTACAGTATGGGTATTAGGTATGAGGTAAATTTTCATTTCCTCTATCACAGAAATAGCTGAAGACATGACTCACGAGCCTTCATGAACAAATACAAGCCCATTATACTTTTTTATACAAAGGTAAAGACCCTTGGTGGGTCTGCTGAAAAGATATTTCACATTGACCTCTGATGTGCACTGTGTCCAATCAAATTACAGGCAGCTAGATGAGGCAAGCAGACAGAGTGTTGGGCCTGGAGTCAGGAAGACATGAGTTCAAATCCAGCCTCAGACACTTCCTAGCTGTGTGACCTGGGCAAGTCACTTCACCCTGTTTCCCTCAGTTTCCTCATATATAAAATGGGGATCATAATAACACCTACCTCACAGGGCTGTTTTGAGGATTACAAGAGATATTTGTAAAGTGCTTACTTAGCACAATGTTTGGCACTTAAATGTTTATATCCTGCCATTTACCCCTTTATGGAGTATTAACTAAGTGCAGATCTCCTGCTAGGGCAGGGCTTTGGGATTTTCCTGTTGGTAGTTTTCTTCTCTGAGAAGCAAATTGTTATGGAAATCCCTCTCTGGGCAGCTAATGCCCCACTTAGGAACTCTCAAACTCAGGTTTACCCATAAAGTAACCTTCAAGGATGGAAATGCCCATTCTCAGATCTTAGTCACAGACATACTAAGAAAAGGAAACAGACTAAGGCAGGGGTGGGGAATCTGCGGCCACATGTGGCTCTCTAGGTCCTTGGGTGCGGCCCTTTGACTGAGTCCAAGTTTTACAGAACAAATCCTTTTTTTTTTTTTGGCTAAGCAGTGGGGTTAAGTCACTTGCCCAGAACAAATCCTTTTATTAAAATGTGGCCTCGAGGCTGAAAGTTCCCCACCCCTGGACTAAGGCATCCAGAACTGCAAGATCTTAGGGATTCCAGTCTCAGGCTCACTTTGGCACACACATGTCTACATATCTCTCACTGCCATATGTTTCTCTACTGTTAAGTAAGCATTGCTGTTAGGTGGAGTGGGAGGGGAGGGGAGGGAAAGGATCCTCCATTGCTGGAAGTCCTATAGAGAGGAAGTATGTGAAAAGAGAGAAGGGACCAGGGGCAGCTAGGTGGCGCAGTGGATAGAGCACTGGCCCTGGAGTCAGGAGGACCTGAGTTCAAATCCAGCCTCAGACACATAACACTCATTAGCTATGTGACTCTGGGCAAGTCACTTAACCCCAATTGCCTCACCAAAAAAAAAAAAAGAGAGAGAGAGAGAGGGGACCAAAAAAGGACAGTCATTTGCTCAGTTCTATCTCACATCCCCCCTTCCTCTCACTCAACAGATATCAAGAGGCAGCCCCTGTTTCTGAGGACAAATCAGGAGCTCCCCAAGTCATCCCAGAAACTAGGGCACATTTGTCTAGCTTGGTGGGAAGTGACTCCTTCCAAGCCCTAATCTCACAAAGTGGATTAGTAAATTAATAAGAAACTTTCCTGATCAATACCCCCTCCCTATAACATGAGGGTGTCCCCCCAAGGCTCTGTCCTGGGCTTTCTTTTTTCTACACACTCAGTGATATCAGCTCCTAGAGATTCCATTCAGCTATCTATTAGACCAAGGTCCTTGAGGGCAAGGACTGTCTTTTGTCTCTTTTTGTATCCCCAGTGCTTAGCACAGTGCCTGGCACATAGTAGAAATAAATGTTTAAATGTTTATTTACTATCATCTCCATCCAGATGACTCCCAGACCTATATATCCAGCCCTCATCTCTTTCCCACTAGACCTCCATCTATCACCACCTGCTAGAGTTCTCCAGCTGGATGTCCCATAGGTACCTCAAACTCAACATGTCCAAAACAATACCCATTATGTTTCCCCTATATTTTCCCTTCCTTTCCTTTTTCTAGAAGGTTGGAAATACTCATTTCTCAGGATCGTTTGTGGCTGATGTGTGTTTAGAAAAGGAAATTGGCAGAAAACAGTCAAAACTGCTGTCTTTTGCCTCAGTTTCTTCATTAACAAAATGGAGACAATAACCCTTGACCTACCTGCTCAAAGGGCTGTTGTGAGAAAAATGCTTATGTGAGCTGTCCTTCCCAAAGCCCTATATCTTCTTTCCAGAAGAGAGTTAAAATGATGGCATCAGTGGCTTAGGGATCATCATACCTTTCCCAGGAAGCCTTTTCTGAAGGATCCACCCAACCCATATTGATCCACCTTTTTTCAACCTTCTTCAGCACTCCCTGCCTGTATCTGTCATTTGGACATCTCCACCTTGAAGTCTCATGAGCATCTCAAAGTCAATATGTCCAAAACAGAGCTCATTGTCTTTTCCCCAAAATGCTCCCTTCTTCCTAACTTCATTCTTGACTCTTCACCCCATTTATCTCTTTGATTGTCAATTCTTGTCTATTCCACCTCCTCAAGGTCTCTCCCATCCATCCCCTTCTCTCAACTTACACCAGAACCACCCAAACCCTCATCATCTCTTGCCTAACATATGCCAATAGCATCCTAATGATTCTCCCAACATTCAATCTCTCTTCTTTCATAAGACATTCTCCCCGACAAATACACACAGTGTCAGTGGGAAGAGGAGGCGCATACATAGAGTAACAAATAGAAATGGAGGCATCCTCAGGGGATGATTGTGGCCCAAATAACTCAGCATTTGAGTCCATGATGTTCCCAGTGGGTGGGTCACTCCACTGGACTGCCTGGGATTGCTTCTTCACCTCCTCCAGCTGTCAGCTTAGCTGTCATCCTTAGCAGGTACCTTGACCTTGGGACTGGTAGAAGCCTCTACAGTTCTGCTCCTTCAGGGCCCCACCAAAAAGGCCTGACTCTTACCAAGCAGGAAGTAGGAGAGAAGAGTTGTCCAAGCAAGCTAATGCCCTTAGACTTAGCCTTTGCATTGACTTTGCTACACACACACACACACACACACACACACACACACACACGCACACGCACAGAACACACATGGCCAAAGCAACTCGCTCTGACACTGTAGGACTCTGATGTTGTTTTTTTTTTCTCTTCTTATAGTAGTCTCATATGCTCCCCTGAATGTGATGTGTCTCCTGGGCAGGTCAGTCAGCTGGGATCCCTGGACCTTCTCCCCTCCATGGCTCAACTCGACTGGGCAGCTGGACTCTGGTCCTGTTCTCTGCCAGGTGTGGTGTCTCCTGCTGGAGGAATTTCTCCGCTGAAAGACACCATTGTCAATGGAGGCAAAGGATAGAAGTCTCTTTATCCTACCCCCTGGAACCCTGGAAAAGAGAAATGATGAAGAATGATCTTTCTATCAAGAGCTGGGTCCTTCTTCTATAGCTAGATCTCTTCTCACTGCCAGAGATGACTCCTTCACTGCTTGAGTTCCTCCAATCTGGACCATTCCAGAGCTGGCAAGCTTGCTTTTTACTTACTTTTAAATTTTTTTGTAATCCACTTGGTATAACATATTTGATTTTAATGTAACTTTTATTTTAATTAACAAACTTTTTTATTCCCCTTAACTTCTCCCTGTGCCCAATTGAAAAAAAAAAAAGAAAAAGAAAAACATTCTTTGTAACAAATAGTCAAGCAAAAAAATTCCCACACTGGTTGTAACCAAAAATTCTGTCCATTGAGTCCATCACCTCTTTGCCAAGAAATAGGTAGTGTGCATCATCATCTGTCCTCTGGAGTAATGGTTGGTCATTTCATTGATCAGCATTCTCACATCCTTCAAAGCTGCTGGTCATTACAGTGTTGTTGTTCTCATATAGATTGTTTTCTGTGTTCTGCCTACTTTGTTCTGTATCAGTTCACACAAACCTCAGGTTTCTTTGAAACCTTCCATTTCATCATTTATTATAGCTATTATAGATATTCTACTATATCAATATACTATAATGCATTTAACCATTCCCCAATGGATGGGCACCCCTATTAATTTCTATTTCTTTGACACTACTATAATAGTGCTATAACTATTTCTGTACATATGGATCCTTTTCCTTTTTCTTTGATCTCTTTGGGATATAGGTTTAATAGTGTTATTGATGGGTCAAAAAGGGCATGCACACTTTGGAGAACTGGGAGGCATAGTTCCAAATTGCATTCTAGAATGGCCATATCAATTCACAGCCCCTGCCTCTATTTGCCCACAGCCCCTCCGACATTTGTCATTTTCCTTTTGAGTCATCTTTGCCGATTGGATGGTATGAAATGGACCCTCAGTTGCTTTAATTTGCATTTCTCTATTACACATATGGAGCATTTTTTTTCCCACAAGGTTATTCAATAGCTTGGATTTCTTCCTTTGAAAAGTGTGTGTTCAGATCTTTTCATCATTTATCAATTAGAGAATGGTTCTTATTCTTATCAATTTAAATAAATCTTTTATTTATCTTGGAAATGAGCTCTTTATCAGAGAAACTTGCTGCAAAAGACATTTTTCCCAATTATTTCCTTCTCATTTTAGCTGCATTGGTTTTGTTTCTGCAAAACCTTTTAAATTTCATATACTCAAAATTGTCCATTTTATCTTCTCTCCATTCCTTGTTTGCTCATGAATTCTTCCTTATCCATAATTTGGAAAATTAATTTCTTCCTCGCTTCTCTAATTTGCTTATGATGTCACCATTGATGTCTAAATTGGGTATCTGTTTGGAGCCCACTGAAAGCTTGCTTTTCAAAGGCCACAAGGGGTGTGTCTAGTCTAGGGGTAGGGAACGTATGGCCTCGAGACCACATGTGGCCCTCTAGGTCCTCAGGTGTGGCCCTTTGACCACTTCACAGAACAAATCCCCTTAAGAAAAGGAAACTTGAACTTGGTCAAAAGGCCGCACTCAAGGACCTAGAAGGCCACATGTGGCCTTGAGGCTGCAGGTTCACCACCCCTGGTCTTATCCTTCAGTCAACCCATAATTCCATCAAGCTTGATTAAGAAACTTCATACCACATAAAGAAGTAAAGAAAATGTAGGTAAACACTTTTTTATGTTTTCTTTTCATTTCCTTCATATCACATTTTCAGGCTGATTACACATCACCCCCTACTCAGGCACTCTGTGTCCCAGGCAAACTGGTCTTCTTGCTGTTCCCTGTATATGGCATTCCATCTCCCCCCTCTTGGCTTTTACCCTAGCTGTTCCCCATGCCTGGAATGCTCTCCCTCCTCAAGTCCACCACTTGGAAACATTTGTTCCTGTCTAGGCTCGGCTCAAATGCCTGTTCGAGTATAATAAGCTCCTTGAGAGCAGGGAGTGGTCACTTTTGTCTTTGTATGCTCAGTGCCTAGCAATGTGTTTAATAAATGTTTGCTATTAGTTGATCAATCAGATTAAAAAACGGCTAGATTAGCAAGAGAATTGTCCTCTTGTTTCCCAAACCAGTTGTCTAGTGTGGACCAGGAAACCTTACCCATGGCTATAACTTTTGCTTTGAGTATCTTTAGGATTCTTTGTTTCCTTCCTCAGACAGCACATTGCCAAAAGTGTGGCCCTTTATTCATAAGTTTCACAGATTGGCAAAACCTCAGTATATTTCGGGTCCAGCATCCATGTTCTCTTTATGAATTGGGACAGGGGCAAAGATGGAAAAAATGTTATAAAGGTTTCCTGCAAGTCCTAGGCAAGGCATGAGAAAGGCTGTAATGGTCAGTCTTCTTAACTTCCCACATCCAAAAGGAGGGAAACACTTCCAGAGTGGCTTCCAAAGCATTAGCATCTGCTCAAGGCAAGGGTGCTTATCATAGCAGCCTAGAGGGAGATCAAAGGAATCTGGAGTTGAAGGAGCATAATCAGAAGGGGCTGAGGACTTGAGACAGAAACCAAGGGACTCATCCTCTCAGATGCTACCTCCCACTTTCCCTCCTCCACCTGAAGGCTACCTCCTGCCTTTTTCCCAGCCAAGTCCCCATCCCATAGCCTACCACAAGGCCCCCTCTCAATGTAAATCAATAAACTTAATGTCTTCAAGCACTACTTAGTCAGTTTCATAAGAGCTTGGCCTCTGAAATGAGGCCTCTCCTTTTGGAGAGGAAAAGCCTATTACAACCAAGGCTCTGAGAATGGATAGACTCTTGTTATGGGGAGAAAAACAGCTGACTGTTTCTCCCTAGCCCAATGACTGGCTATGAGAGGGTTACAGTCTTTCTAAAAGAGCTACAGGGGGGCAGCTAGGTGGTGCAGTGGATAGAACACTGGCCCTGGATTCAGGAGGACCTGAGTTCAAATCCGACCTCAGATACATAACACTTACTAGCTGTGTGACCTTTGGCAAGTCACTTAACCCCATTGCCTAACCAAAAATAAAATAAAATAAAAGAGCTACAACTTAAGGCTCTGGGCTTTATAAGTTAAAAGAGCCCACTCTTATGGGGAAGAGGTAGCACCTCATCTGATGACTGGCAGCTGAAGCCAGAAGCTGGAAACAAGGGAGAAACTACACAGCCTTGTGTCCAATGGAGCCTCCTCTGGCAGCATCCTTCAGCAACCATGGATTCAGTGGCACTCTGTCAAGGTATAGCCTTAGGAAAGCAATAGTAGAAAGTACACGCTACATAAGACCATCAACAAACAGGCCCAAAAGGCATCAATGGGCCTCCGATAGCACAAGTAGCCCATCCATGTATTGTACCCTGACCATGTGCGTCTACTGTGGGTGCCCTTCCACCTCTTCTCTTCTACCCTTCCCATTGGTGGTATGTGTGTTTGTGAGAGTATGGCCTAGGCTTGGAGAGACAATGTTTTTATTGTTGTTTTTTCTTACTATGCTATTTCATTAAATGACTGCTTCAAATTGATTGTGTGCTCTGGCTGATGAATTAAAGTTAATCCTTTGGTGGGGACTCATGAGCTTTGAAGTGGATGTGGACCCAGAGAGTATCTTGAATCTGGGGTAATTTACCTGAGGGAACTCACACAGTGGTGTGAGTTGGGGGGAGTTCCCGGGGGGGGGCACAAATATAACCTCTGCCGCATAAGGGAGAATGCTCTAACAATTAGAGCTGTTCCAAAGGGAAGTGGGTTCCATAGGAAGTAGTGAGTTCTCATCTCTGGAAGTTTTTACTTAGAACCTTGATGAGCCCTTGTTGGAGATGCTGTAGAAGGGTGAGGATTGGACTAGAATTCAGGGGTTGGGAACCTGCGGCCTTGAGCCACATGTGGCCCTCTAGGTCCTCAAGTGCGGCCCTTTGAATCCAAACTTCCCAGAACAAATCCCCTTCATAAAAGGATTTGTTCTGTAAAACTTGGACTCAGTCAAAAGGCCTCACTTGAGGACCTAGAGGGAATTTGTTCTGTGAAGTTTGGATGAGGGCCTAGAGGGTCACATGTGGCCTTGATGATGCAGGTTCCCCACCCCTGGACTACATGGTGTCTGAGATTGCTTCCAGCCCTGAGACTGTGATTGATTCTATTCAATAAATTATGGAGCTGGGACTGGAACCCACATCTCCTGACTCTGTTAGTACATTTATCTTTCTCCTGTGTTACATGCCCTTTCAGCTTCATTCATTCAGTTATTTATTTTTTCATTAAAACCAGATGTATTAACTACCTACTGAATAGATAGCTCCATTTGGGGAGGTAGACAAGGTCGCTCTCTTCTTTGGCTCCTAAATGATGGTCTCTTCTCTCACAGTTCACAGTCTACTAGATACAAGCACAGGTCACTATTGGGCATGAAAATAACGTGATAGGATAAATGCATTTGAGAGCTTCAAAGCAAAGTGTCCTGTGAGATCTCAGGAGGAAGGTTATCAGGAACCATGAGGATTAGAGCACACTGCCCTAAGGAGTTGGCATTGGTATTGAGCTTTCAAGGTGGAGATTCTACAGGTAAAGAAGGGAAGTAAGGAAATTGCAGGCAGAGGGGCTAGTGTGAGGAAAGGCATGGATGTGGGAAGATACATGTTTGTAGGCCAAAAAGGAATACAGATGGAGCACCAAGAATATGGCAAGGAGTGGCATGAGCTAAGTCTAGAAAGGGAGTATGGCATTCAGTTGAAGAAAGCCTGGAATGCCAGGTAGAAGAACTTAACTTTACTCAGTTTCCTGCAATTAAGTCTCCTGCAACAAGCCTCTTTCTATTTCTGGCTGGGGGACTCCCATCAGAGAAGCCCTCTGGATAAGATCTGGGATCACTTCCAACCAGCTGTTAAAATCATCAGCGGTTCAATTTCCCTGAGTATGGATATTTCCTGGTCTTGTGACAGATGAGAATGTTTAACAGGGGCTCGTGGCCTCTTCCTTTGCAGCTGGAACAAATCTGTAAACTTCTCC